ACTGCTGCTGCGCACTCAGCTAGGGGGTTTATCCCCAAACACTAACAGGTTCTCCAGATGTTTGACACAATTTCTTTATTTTAGTTTTCACATTTTTATTTGAACCATTCTTTTTTTCGCACTCCTTCCCTCTCTCCTTGCTATATGATAGATAGATAGATAGATAGATAGATAGATAGATAGATAGATAGATAGATAGATAGATAGATAGAGTAGGAGGTTGGACTAGAAGATTGCCAAGGTCCCTTCCAATCTATTATTCCAGTCTAATCTCATTTCTGAGGCTGGGACAATAGATCAGCCAAAGAAACCCACTTGTTTAAACCCTGTCCTGCACTCCTCAGACATGAGAGGAAACTAAGATTAAAACAGAAGGGGTGTCTCCCTTGCATGCTATCACGTAGCTGGCCAATTTTTGACTTGCTGTTATCTTGGCCAGGTATGAATTCCCCCCACCCCTCAGATTTATTTTTCTACTCTGCTCTTCCCTATGTTCAGCAAAACATATCTTGTTATCAAAAGTATTGGAGTTTTTCCAGCTTGCTACATCAATAATATTCATATGTTTATGAGGGCCCCTTGATTAAGAGCCTTTGATTTCCTACACCACCTATTCCTGCCTAAGTCCTCCAGTGTTTCTTTTATCTCTTTGGGTGGCACCTGTCTTTTCCAATGGGCTTTTAACTCTTGCGACTACTGAGAGACCAGTTCCATCACTTCCTCTCAACTGTGACATTGAAGCAGCCATTATACCAAGCTGCAGCAGAAGCTAGAAAGCATGGTCCTCTCAAGAGGAAGTCTTGTATTTCAATGCCTGCCTTATAGTACCATAGGATAGTGCAGCATGATGAAGGTGAAGTTCCCTTAACCATGTTCAGTAGCCTTTTTTTATGATCATGAATTTTGTATTAAGATGATTTTTTTATGAGATACAGTGTTACAGGTTATATTTTACTTTTTACAAATTTTTATTAATATTTTGTTTTTAAAAAGTGTACAAACTGACACAAACCTACAAAAAGAAAAGGCATTTATAACTTCCCAAATAGGTTTGTAAAGTTCCTACATAGTGATTCTATTGTATTATATTAAAAATTAACTCAAGGCTGTCCTTAGGCTGTGAAGTATTTTCTTCAATAATCCACTCGGAGTTGACTTTGATCTATGCCATTGTAACGCCTGGGTAATCAGTGCTTGTATTTTCATAATTTATTTATTTTCATTATAAAGACAGGTTTTAAATGTTGTAAAATCCCAAAAGAACTATTTTGTTTTTTTCTCTCAAAGAGTGTATGCATAATGTATAGGTGGACACGCTTACTGGAATGGTCCCCCTTTTGGTATTATGTAAGCAACTGTGGGTTACATACACCTTTCTTCTTGCAGTGCTGCATATATTGTGATTAGTTACCTATTGTTTTAATCCCCCCACCTCACCCCATCTTCTCCAAGGCCTAGAAAATTTGGAACACAATTTAGACCTTTTGGTCTTGCTTCACTGCCTTTACTGAACCAGTGAAATAATTGTGTGGTCTGTTTTACTTTTGGTTCTTGTAGGAGTGTGAAAGATGTTGCATTTGCAGATTTTGGATTACTATTTAATTAAGTCTCTACAGTACTTGCCCTTAACAATATTAAATATTATAACAAATATTTAAAAACTCTATAAGAAATATGTTAATATGTAATAAAGAGTATCTTTCCCTCTTTATTTCAACAGCCTTACTAAACGTCTACCAAAAGTTGGAGAAACCATACATGGGTATAAATTTTTCACTGGATTTGGGGGGAAAGGTGCCAACCAGTGTGTTCAGGCAGCTCGGCTTGGAGCTAAAACTTCAATGATTTGCAAGGTAGGCACTGGTTTATATATGTTACTGTCAGTATATTCTGTTGTTAATAAATTGCCTAAATATTAATACATACAAAATTTACAGGTTCATTTTAGCAACTAACAACTGCCTTATCCAAGACAAAAAAGAAGCCCGAAGCAGAATAAATATGTGTATTCCTTTCTTGATGAAGGTTAATAAATACAGGTAGTCCTCAACAATTCATTTAATAGCAAGAGCAAGAGCACTTAGACTTATTTACCGCTTTATAGTGCTTTTCAGCCCTCTCTAAGCGGTTTACAGAGTCAGCATATTGCCCCCAACAATCTGGGTCCTCATTTTTCCCACCTTGGAAGGACGGAAGGTTGAGTCAACCTTGAGACTGGTGGGATTTGAACTGCCAAATAGCAGGCAGCCGATAGTCATCAGAAATGGTCTGCAGTACAGCACCCTAACCACTGTGCCACCAAGGCTTATGACCATTTAAAGTTACAAGGGCACTGAAAGTTACAATGGCACTGGAAAAGGTGACTTACGACCATTTTTCCCAGTTATGGCCTTTGCAACATTCCCATGATCATGTGATCAAAATTCAGATGTTTGGCGGCTGGTTCATATTTATGATGGATGCAGTGTCCTGAGGTCATGTGATCACCTTTTACAACCTTCTGACAAGCAAAGTCAATGGGGAAGCCAGATTCACTTAGCAACTAGGTTATTAATTTATCAACTGCAGTGATTCATTTAGCAACTGTGGCAAGAAAAACCATAAAATAGGGCAAAATCTCACTCAACAAATGTTTCACTTAACAACAAAAATTTGGGGCTCAATTGTGGTCATAAGTTGAGGACTACCTGTATAGGGATGCACTCTGTGCCGTCTAGGACTGCCATAGCATCCTATGATCAAGCTTCTAAAATTTTAGAGTAACTGGTAGCGTTAATATATAGGTAATACTAATATAGTTTGAAAACAGGATTATGACTTGCTAAATGAATATATCAGTCTATTCTGCATCTTTCCAAATACACAATACAATGTATCAGTTTTGTATTTTTGAAAGAGAAAGATTAATATTTTGTAAAAAAGTTAATTGTGCTTAAGTATGGAGAACATGAAATGTTTGCCAAAATTTTCCCCATAGGAACAAAATCATTTTATTCTAGTGTCTATCCACTCCTTTTTCTGCTTTTTCTTTTCTACTAGAACCTCAAGGTCCACCAATTGGAACTATGTGCAAAGCAATGAATCAAGATAGATAATACTTGAGAAATAGTATAAATTCATGTACAAGATTGTCATAATGTACTTCATTTATTTCGTTGTAGTGGATTATACTAAACCCAGCCATTTTGATTTGTAGCTCTGATTTATGATTTAGCATGATGCCTGAGCTCAGATTGTTGTGGTTTATTAAGCAAACCATAGCTTAATTCAGTGTATGAATCCAGTTAGTATAACTGAGCACATGGAGCAGACTTAGAACATCTTTTGATAATGAAAACTTAATTCATGGTCGGTTGGACAAGGGTCCCCAATACACAGTTCATGGATTGTACCGGTCCGTGGCCAGTTGGGAACCAAGCTGTGCAAGGCAGCAGATGAGCGTACAAAGCTTCATTTGCGCAAGAAGCAAACAAGTCCACATAGCCTAAAAGGTTGGGGACTTCTGTCTTAAGGGATCAGCTTTGCAGTCTAATTCCCAAAGAGCTTTTTTGTTATTTTCAAGGATATCCAAAGTTTCCCAGAACAGTTGTTTATATAGAATGTAGAAAAGTAATTCTGTGCTTTTTCAGAAGTAGATATAAAGGAATTCTAATTATAATTAACTGAAAGCTATTTCAGTTTTGCCCACCAGCTTCTCGTAGTGTATCTAATAAGTTACAACAATCATTTACCAATGATTTCAACTGAGGAATTTATTAAATGGAACCCTTAATAAACTGTTGCCATGTGAGATACACTACCCAGGACTTCAGGGCTTCCATTTCATATCCTTGTTACCTGACCTTATTTTACAGTGTTTTGTTTTATTTTGTTTTCTCTGACATTCAGCATTTGTCAACTGCTATGCATCCTCTGCCATTACTAAACTGTGCATAAATAGGATTCTCCCATGGGTTCATTCTTTAAGAAATATTTTCCCATATCAATTATTTCACAGGTCATAGAGCATGTTATGTTGTTTATTTTTCTTTGGTTCAATAACTGTAACTGTATTTTCAACAAATTTTAAGTTTTGTGATTTCCTCATCAAAGATATTAAATGCATAGTTGGAAAATATAGACCTCATTAATATTTTTAAATATTCTATAACATTTTATTGATTAAAATTTATTTTTATTTAAATTACCTGGTTGCCCAACTTTTAAATGCACCTGTTCTAGAGAGAAATGGTATTGCTCTCCCAGACTTCAGTGCTATATTCATATAGAGGGGAGGACTCCCCACCGGATTCAGTACTTCATGTTTCTGAGGAAGATGTTAAAAAGGGGTTTTAATCATGTTATAAAGCAGGGGTCTTCAAACTCGACAGCTTTAAGACTTGTGGACTTCAACTCCCAGAAATTCTCCTCCAGTCATGTTAGCCCCGGAATTCTGGGAGTTTAAGTCTACAAGTCCTAAAATTGCCAAGTTTGAAGACCCTTGTTATAAAGTCAGTGATACCTTATGATTTAAGGATGAGTTGTAGTAACATTGAGGAATATAAAACTCCTCTTTCTAAAATATTATGACAGTGGAGAAATATAGAATAAAAATTTATTGGTTTTAAGAACAACCAGTACATTTTCATTCTTGCATATTCGAATATTTGCATTTTGAAATATTTTTATCGCTGCAAAACAGATATTTCAGGGGTTCTCTCCAGGGCTAATGGAAGCCCAACAACATGGAAATCCCCATCTTGTCCATACTTGAGAATGTTGTCCAAGAAGAGCTGGGTAATCTGAAATATATAATGTTGTTTATTTTTGCTCTGTAGGTTGGGAAGGATTCTTTTGGTAATGACTACATTGAAAACTTTAAAAAAAATGGGATTCCAACAGGTATCTTTCTTATTTTAATTCAGAATCAAATTATATCAATTATCACTATATTCTGAATATATGATTTGCAAAGTTTTCCTCAATGAGAAAATGAACAGTGTAGTAAACAAACATCTACCATTCTTCATAATAATTTTTTCTTCTGTTCTATATTGTATCCAATACTCAAAGACTGTTTGGACAAGTCCCTGCAGTTTTCTGGGCAAGGTTTTTCAGAAGTTTTTTTTTCTTTAAGATTTTTTTTATGCCACCATTATTATTTTTGTAAATAACTCAAGACAGCAAATACACCTAATATTCCATCTTCCTCCTATTTTCCTCAACACCAACAATCCTGTAAAGTGAATTGGCCTGAGAAAGGCTGGCTGACCAAAGTCATCTAGTCAGCTTTCATATTTGATTTTTTTTCATGTTTGAAATAGTTTGCCATTGCCTCTTTCCCAGCATTATGAAAAAATAACTGGGTCAAAATAATCTAAACTGGATTTGTACCTAAGGCAGCACTAGATCTCACAGTTTCCTAGCTCCTGGCTTCTTCATAATGACTAGAACTCAGTAATACTAACTGCCAGCATAACACAGATAAAAAAAATATATTCCTACATAATGTTTAGACTTGATTCAACCACTTGGTTATCTCACATTTTATTAAACTCTCAGGTAAATAGATTTAACACCTGTATTGTGGCTTAGCATATAAAATACCCTGTATGAGGGCTGTGATGAAAACCAGCAATTCCCATGTCAAAAATGGCTGTTATGTAGAACAGCCATTCAGCTTCAGGGCCGCTATGTGTCATGTAAAGTTGATTCAGAAAAAAAAAAACAGGAAAGAAGCCTTGTAAGTGGTCCTTGATGTTCTCTGAGCTTGGTTGTTTTCTTGCAGACATTTCATTATCCAAACTAGGTAATATCATCAATGCTAGTGATGATCTAAGAAGTCATGTGTCAAGCCTTCTAAAGATGGTAATCTCAGGAAAGAAGAACCATTTGGGTTTCTGAATAGACCTTTGTAAGCTAGTTGGGTAATGTAACAATGCTAAAAACTTCTCAACGCCATTTTCCCATTCAATTTACACCTAATTGCTTGATGTCTTTCTCCCCTTGTCTTTTTTGCAAATACAGTAGCTCTGTTTCCTACTCTGCCTTCCTAGGTTCTGTTAGTCATTCCATCATATCTTAAGTTTAAATATCAAGACTGTAATAGTAATTGATATGTTATCATTGGCAATCAGCAATCAACTGTTGAGTTTAAGGCTTCATCTAGCTGAACTGTGAATCTTCTGCCAAGTCTAGCCAAGGTATCAAGCTAAGTAATGAAGTGTCTGGAAATGTGTGATTTACTGCCAAATTCTGGTTGGAGGAACATGACAGCCTTTGGTTAGGTGGTTTTAGAAGAAATTTTACAGATTCATTAAGTATATTTTTCTCTATACAAAACTGAGAGAATCTATATCCCACTATTTATTGCTAGAGGGCAGTTCTCATTTTTCTTGTTCACCTGGTACATTGAGGGATATTAATGGGAAATGGCAAGCAATGGAAGGCGAAGCTTCCCCATCTATGGTCTATAGCTATTACAAAAGTATATAAATGGAATCTGTCTTACAGATGAAATATTCCTCAAAATGTAATTTATAGAAAGGTGAAACTGGCTATAGCCACTAACTTGTGGCTTCCAGGAAGAATTTGGCTAGGCATTGTTAAATTTAGGTCAAAATCCAATTTTAAACTATTTTGAACACACTTGTGCAGAGTAAACATACTTCCAGATAAACATGGATAGGAATGTACTATTTTACTCTAATGCAGCCAAGACTTTACAAGGGTTACACTGTTTCCTATGCTAAAGGAGTCACTTCATGGGTAATATTTTTCCCAATAAGCAGAGCAAATTCATACTGTTTTAACCATAACTTTGACTTGCATGTCTATGTGAATAACAAGTGTACTACAGCTGCCAGTAATGTCTGTACTAAATTTAGATCAGTTTTTTTCCTGAAATACGGAATTAGCCACAATTAATTAATCTTGAGCTTGTGTTTGCTGTCATGTGGGTGTAATTTAGCATTTATGTTTCCCGCTCCTGGCATTGGTATTCATTATTAGCATTTTAAACGCCAGCTGTTCAGCTGTAATGTTTGCTGATGTAACTCACTAATTTGTACATTTGCTGAAAGATCTCTACAACTTTTTTCTTTCTTACCTTAGAATTTGTAAATCAGACAGAAGATGCCGCAACAGGAGCTGCTTCAATCATGGTCAATAGTAAAGGTACATATCAAGGAATAAGCTGGATTTTCTTAGTTTTGAATTATGTATGATGAGTATATTAATGTTAAGTTTTATTTTTTTAAAGATATAACCAAGGAAGTTTTCCCACCTGTTGCATATCTATACCATTGAGCCCAGAAGCAAATACACATAAGCTGTGTTCTGTATCATTAAACTTTGGATGGCATGTGTTGGGGATTGAACAGGCCTGGTAACAGGATTACAGGATACAGCTGATAACTTTTTGTTTTTTCTCTTGTCTCAAATATTTCATATGCTTTACATAGAATGACTCAAAGGAAGAAATGTAAACTGTAGATTAAGCATTTACAAAATCCTGCAAACCCATTCATCTCTTAACTAAAGAAGGATTAGTGATAGTCCTGTGCCTCATATATCCCATGATCAAATTCAGTAGCACTGTTTTGTTTTTTTTCATTTTGCTGAAAATGATTACACCTGGTATTGTGTGAATTTTGATTAGGACTGATGATCAGTTACCATCCCCTCTAGATATTGGGCAAATATAGCCACAGAAACAAAAGAAAGATGTTCTAAATAAGAATAGCATTATAATGTAATAGTATATTATACTACTACGCTGGAGAGACGATATCTTCAGTGGCTGAGTTTTAGAGCTTCTCATAATATCAGTTCGTTAAAATAGTGTCATAGCATGGTTCTTGGACATTACGGGACACTGAAGAACCAGTTATTGCTCATAGAAAACCATCTTGACACCATTCTTGACACCTTTCTATATGTTGAGAGCCCCTTCAACTTGGAAATCAGGGCAAGTTTGTTTCATCTTAGCTGTGTCTTTTGCTATTAATTACTAATTGCAGTTCCAAGAAGTCAGTCTTGTATGCAAAAGTCTTAAGTTCAAACTGGGAGTTTCAGTGGCTGTAAAAAAGTGATGAGTGAGATTAAAGAATGGAAGTGAAGAAAATTATCTGGATGTAATATTAGCTTAACAAACTTGGTGGCTGATACAGATTGCAGATTAGAAGTGGCTTTTTCCATCTTGGCATCTGGTAAACATAGAAGAGTTTTCACACAGAGCTATTTCCAGAACATAGCTTTGGGTGTTGCACTGTTGTTTGTTAATTTGCTCATTTTTGCCACAGGAAAAAATGGTTTGGAAAGTACTTCATACCGTGACAATTGTAAATAATTATCTTTGAGCTTTTTCTAGTCTGATGCTCCCTAGAAATGTTTTGAATTCAGTTCCCAGAATCCTTCAGCCAGTATGGAATAGTAATGTGGGGGCAAGTATTTCATTTGGATTTGTTTTTTCTAATTCTCTTTCCTGTGATTTTTTTTTTCATATTTTACACTAGCTGTCTATCCTTATCTTTAGAGATAATATTATAGAGGTAGTCCCATAGCTTAAGTTAGGGGATTATAACCCATTAATTGAAGATCAGCGCTCCAAGATTCTGGCTTAATTTCTAGAATCCTAGGTGTCTCAACAATTATTTAAGCATACCTACTATTGCTTCAGTTTTCCTATGTATTTGAACGAATAAATACAAAACTGATTTTGACAACGATGTCAAATAAAAATTTCACAACTATCTAATACGTTTATAGAACTGTGAATGGTCTGACAATAATGAATAGGGTGAAAAACTGATGAGAGTTCTAAGTTGACCAAAAGAAAATATGCATGTAGTTTGTCCAATGTTCTGTCAGGAGAGATTGTTGATAGCCTCTAGTTCTGAATCTTCATGAAAGTCTGTATAAATAAATGACAACTTTATCAATGACCATAATAAGTAAAAAATTAAATCTAGTGGGTGAAAAAATGTGCCTCCAATTGAAAGACCCTTGGCATAAACATCGGGGGTTAGTTATCTCCATGTGATATCTGGATAATAACTATTAAAGAAAAATATTTAAAAAACTATAAGCAATGGCAAAAAATTGCATGCTTTCTCTCCACCTTCACACCCATCACTATTCCTGACCACCTAACAACATTAAAGTGAAATCTGTAAAAAAATTACTTCAGAAAATTAGGGGGGAAATGAAAAACTTCAATCAAATACACATAAATATTTGTTCCATGTTGTATCATTTCCCCATTCATGATAACATTTAGATCTGATCTTCAAAAAGAAATTCTATGGTCTTAAGGTGACCAATTCCATCTACTTTATTTCTTGTACTATTCCTTTGGTAATGCACCATTAATAGCAGTCTTTCAAAATGCTACTAAATGTAACTGTAGCAGTTTTCAGAAAGTATGCTATCCATCCTGAGACTTCAGGCTGGCATTTTTATGTTAGGCAATCTTTCACTGAATGTATCTGGGGGGAGAAAAATCTAGGCTTTAGCCAACATTGTTTGGAAAATTAAATTCCTTTGTGAGAATGATCATTATACCATTATTCCCACCATTGTATTTGGAGGAGGCACATTTTGAACCTAAAACACTCTAAAGTTTAATTCTGAAGGAATGTTTGCAAAGTAGAGCTTTACAATCCACAATCACATGACTAACTTATGATTTGAAAGGCCCGCTTTAAAATTTGATGACAAGTAGATGAAAAAATAACTTAGAATGTTGAGCAGTTTACTGATGAATAATTGTCAAAAACTACACTGTTGGCAAATGCATTTGCTGCACAATCTGCACAAGTAGGAATAAACAAATTCATTTTATAACAGATATAATGCCACAAATGCCAATATACTGGGGTTTTATTTCTTGTTACTAGAAGATTCCCTTGGGAATCTAGAAGATTCCCTTGGGATATACATGGTTCAGATGCCAAAGCTTAGGAAGACATTGCCATCATAATTACTTCAGCAACTGCCTTAACAGCTTTAATCTCTTTCCTTTGAGGAAAACAAATGAATCATCTTGTGCAAGTTATATTCTCATATAGGTAGTCCTTGGATTATGGTGGCAATTGAGATTGTGATTGCCATTGCTAAACAACACGGTCATAAAGCATGATGTCACATGATCATATCACTTAATGATAGCACTCTGAGGCAGTCCAGTTCCCATTGTAAACCAAAAACATGCCCCTCATTAGGCAGGAAGAAGCAGGAAGAATACAAGGATGTCAAGTAGGATGGGGGAAGGCCAGTGCAGGCAACACATAAGTGGTGAGACCTGTGAAGAACAGTGGTGCAGACTGCACATGGGCAGAGTGTGTTGCAGATGGGAGAAAAAGTGGAAGCAACTTACTGGAGCAACTTCGGATCTTCTCTGCCAGCTTCCCCATTGAGTTGCTTATGGGAAATCAGTAGGAAAGGTTGCAAATTGCAATCATGTGACCAAAGCTCCTTCCAATGTCATATTCTTGAGCTGGGCACACAAGTGCGTGAATGACTGTGAGGTGCTGCAATGGTTGGAATATTCAGGACTGCTGGTATATCCAGTTTTTTTCCAGTGCTACATAATTGTGAATGGTCACTGAACAAATGGATGTAAACAGAGTGCTACCTATACTTTAAAGTCCATTTTAGTAGGATTAAAGCCATAGTGGTGTTTCCTAGAGAGATAAGTGGGCTGGTACTGAATAGCAGAGGGTTGGCTGATATGGCACGGAAACCCTCTTCCCTGATATTATGGAGATTTTAATCATAACAATTACTATTAGATGGTTTTATCTAACTTAATATTGCAATTTGGAACATTACTGCTATAGAGAAGCTGGAGTTGTTGTGAAGCTCTCAGCCTGGCAGGGAGGAGTTAGCTTGGAGTCACTGTGCAACCGCAAAATGCCTAGAACTGACACACAAACCCCACCCCAAGTTCCTTGGAGTCTTATCTAATTGCTCCCAAGAGTAGGCTGAAGAGATTCCTGTATTATAGCAGAACATTAGTTTGTACACGTGGGTCTGGTTGTTTGCGCCTGACAGGAATACATCCATCTTTTGCATCCAATCATTCCCCTCTCTCCCCAAAAAACTTTGGGATTGTTTTTTGGACTTTTAATAATCAATAGGGGATAACATTTCTTTAGAACAATCTATACTATATGTAGTGTTTTTTTCAAAATCAGCCTTTTCTGAAGCTCTTTCTCATTTCCTGCCATAATTTAACAATACTGTGTGCATCTCAAGGTCGTAAAACAGGACAAAATTCACTTAACTACAGCTTTGCTTAGCAATACGAATTTGGAGCTCAGTTGTGGTCGTTAGCCAAGGACTGCCTGTACTTTGTGTCCAGCATGACACAAACCTTATATGGCTTCATTAAAAAAATTAAAATCCAAACTTATGGTAGTGGTGGAACTTATGGTATACTATCTTTTTTGTCAAGGGTAACTTGCAAACATTCAATATAAACTGCCTTGTTCTTTGATACTGGTTTTCAAATCTACATTCCTTATTGCATCAGTCAAATTCTCAACAAACATGGTATTTTATTTTATTTTTGGCAAACCCACCTCAATTTTGAGATGCCACAAGTGCAATGAAACTTTAGTTTTACCCCGGTGTTTTCACCCTTTCTATGCAAGCTAGGATTTCTAACATATAGACACACCTTGAAAACCTACGTGCTATTAATTTTTTAGTGCTGAAGCAGCCATTAAGAATCATATATGCCATGATGTCAAGAAAATACATTTCATGTTCAGTTTTAATCATTCTAAAATTTCACATTTGTTTTTAGGAGAAAACTTTATTGTAATTGTTGCAGGAGCGAATTTACTTCTGAATTCCAGTGATTTAAAAAGGGCTGCTCATGTCATCTCTGAAGCCAAAGTGATGGTCTGCCAACTCGAAATAACCCCAGCAATTTCTTTAGAAGCATTAAAAATGGCTCATACCCATGGAGGTAATCTAATAATAAGAATTAATTGTTTGCTTCATTCCACAAGTGGTTTCATTAATGTTCTTTTATTGTAGCTGTGTTTCAAAGTCATTATAAAGCATGGTGACCTAAATCCAGGCACTAGCGATATAATTTAATAAAACAATTGGGCCTGTGAAGAACAGTTGGAATTTCACTTGAATTGGCATGAACCTGGTACCATGTGTGCACCTTGCTCGTTTCTTTTTCTTAACCTATTGAGTGCAATTTTTGGTCAAGCCAGAGTCGCAAATAACTTCCTTAGCAGCAGAAGACGACTTAAGATCATTCCGTGAAATGGACCCTGGTTTATAGATCCTCATTCTGTATCTCTGGTAATGCAAAATGCCTTGGGCACGCTACTCCTTTGTGTGCTGTCAGTTGATAACCAAGCACCCTCTTTCCCTGAAAGGAAAACATTTCTGAATTTAAGGGGATTTTTTTCAAAAATCCAGTCAGACAGAAATAAACGTTATTTCTTCTGTTACCGTATTCTGATATAATTGTTCCAATTTATTTATAAATCTAAATTCTTTAAGTCAGAAATTGTGGGGTTTTTTAATAAGCATAATCTCTAGAACATTTATTTCACTGGCTCATTTATTTCAGTGGTGCAGAACATCAAACAAGTATATCTAGAACTTGGTACTCACAAAGTGGCTCACTTCATTAAAAGTGAACACCATAATCTGAATGTTAATCTGTAAAGTGCTAGAGAACACTTTGTTCTGGATGATTGACTGGTAGAAGAAAAGACGCTTAATTCTCCCATTCTTCAGGAATATGTGTAAATAACAATAACTTCAAATTCCATTGCGTGAACATAAAATGTATTTGCATTTAATGCACAGGAGATTACCTCTTCAATAGAAGCCATATAGAAGCCTGTCCCAGACAGGAAACCTCTGTCCATCTTTGAAACACGTTGAATGGCTTTATGGTATAATGAAATCACTGTAAACCCTTTGCTAATACAGAAACAATCTTTAAAATCCTCACAGCTGGAGAGTGTTACTGGCACTTCCTTTCTTTTAGTCTGCTGATTTTTATGTTTAATGCAGCAGTTTATGTTCGGAAGCACACTAGACTATGTGTGTTTAACAGATGCGCATCCAGATGCAAGGCTCAGAAGAAAAAGGGGAGTGGGGAAACAGAAGCTTGTGCCTATAAGCCCTCTTGTTTCCATACACTTGGGTTGTTTTTTTAAACTACAGATCAATAGTTTTATGCTTGCTGAAGTACAGATTGTCCTCGACTTACAGCAGTTCATTTAGTGAGCATTTGAAGTTACAACACCACTGAAAAAAAGTGACTTATGACCAGTTTTTTCACAGTTTTGGCTGTTGCAGCATGCACATGGTCGCATAATCAAAATTCAGATGTTTAGCACCTGATTCATATTTATGATGATTGCGGTGTCCCAGGATCACATTTGTAACCTTCTTACCCAAGCAAAATCAATGAGGAAGCCAGATTCACTTAACAACCATCTTACTAACTTAAGACCTGCAATGATTCACTTAACAACTCTGGCAAGGAAGGTCGTAAAATTGGGCAAAACTCACTTAACAATGTCTCACTTAGCAATGGAAATTTTGGACTCAATTGTGGCCATAAATTGAGGACTACCTGTATCACTGTCCCACTAATTAGTTATTAAAGATCTCTGTAGCAGCTTTTCTGTCACTTCTTGCCTTTGTTTTGATTGTCCTGATGCCAAAGTTGTACATGATAGATCTGGGCTTCTTAACAGATTCTGGTAGAACCAAGCTAATTACAAAGCACATTAGAAACACTTTCAATAATTGTAGACTGTGTTTGAATAACTGCTTAGGCCAGGGATCTCCAAACTTGACAACTTTGAGACTTGTGGACTTCAACTTTTGAAGTTGAAGTCCACAAGTCTTAAAGTTGCCAAGTTTGGAGACCTCTGGCTTAGGCTCTGTTTGGTTTCAAAGCAACCTTTCAGTCATGAGAATAGTAGGTCCATTTGTTGGAAGGGAGGGAGGAAAACGCTTCCATATCCGATGGTATTATTTTAATTCTAAATAAAGGGAAAGGCTTTTTCCGATCCAAATTCTGATGGAACCCTTTTTAAAATATAGTATTGGAATGACACAGAGATGAGAGATACGATGACTGTGGGTATGCATACTGTCTAATCCTGCAGCAATTTGGATTTTGGATTCTGGTTTTGCCTACCATACTTAAACTCCCACTGACTTATTCCCTGGGTCAGTAGTCCATTGTTGGAAAAGAAGTTTCCTCCCCTTTTACAACTTTGCAGATTCCTGGAACTTAAAGGTGAGGTAATTGGAATAAAAATTGTCCTCTGGGTTTTTAAATCTAGGAATGTCTGTATGTCTGTGGTTCGTATCAGCTTCCTTCCAATCTGAGACCTTTTAACTGATGAGAATGAAGTTCCAGAATTCTCAGCAGACAAAAGCAAAACACAGTCCTAATATATCTGGGAATAATTTTGTGTTTTGTTCTTTGTTTGTTCTTGAAATTCAGTTATCCTAGTATATGCATATCTCAATTTAAATCAACAACAACCTTATTTAAATCAATCTACCTTATGTTTCTGAGAAATACAAATTTCAAGAAATGCTAATATGTAGTAGTTTTTATTTTTTTCAAATTCAGCCAAGCCTTCAGTTTCTTTTCTTTTTTTCTTTTTCTTTCATGGCAGAAGCATGATTATAATATTCTCATGAAATCCTTAACTAATTCAATATCATTGCACTACCAGTGTTTTATAAGAGCCGAAAACAGGGTATTTTGCTGAGATTGTTTATGTTAGCAAGTAATTTGTGTATCTAGGGGAAATGTAGAGCTGAAAATGCCTTAGGCATTATAACAAATAGTGTTTTTTGAATTGTAGGCATTTATATTTCAGCATTATGTGATAAGACTTTTACAAAATTTTCCATTCTCTTGTAGTGAAGACTTTATTTAATCCTGCTCCAGCAATTGCTGACCTAGACTCACAATTTTACACTTATTCCGACATCATCTGCTGCAATGAAAGTGAGGTAAATATCATTAGGGTGACTCTGAAGAAATAAAACATTGGGAGTATTATAGTACATGTTATGGATTCAGACTCTGAATATTTTGATTTTAATTTCCATTGCATGGCTAGACCAAAAACAGAGACGTTCCTAAAAGATCTCTGTTAAGTGCACATTGCCCGGAGTGGCTTTTCAGAACAGGAACAAATTAAGTTTGTGCTATCCCTCTAATCCTCCTGTATATTTTGTAAGCTATTTCATTGAAAGTAACATTTATACAAGTAGTCCTCACTTAACCACCCTAAATGGGGCCTGCTGTTCTGCCACTGAGCAATGCAGCTGTTAAACGAAACATCACCTGACCGCTGTGCTTAGCAACAGCAGTTCTGCAAAGCTGGTTTATTGTCATTGCGCAAATTTCACACATTCTTTATATGAGGACCATTTCATGCCACTTCTGTTGCAGCCACAGTGCACCAACCTTCTTTCACATGCCAGCTTGGTCCTTCTTTTGTGTGCTGACCACGATTTCCTTTTCTGCACTAGCTGTTTCGTGCATTAGGCAGGTCTCTCTTTTCTGAAAGGAGACCCTGGCTATCATGCAAAAGAAGGACTCAGCCAATAGGGATGCATGGTAGAGCACTTGCCCATCACCTGCTCGCCTGCAGAAATATCCACAATACTTCCCCCATAAATGGCCAGGATAATGAGCCCAGTAGAGGCAAGGCAAGTGAAGACAACAAATCAGATGGGGTGGGGAGGAATGGTAGCAGGGAGAGTAGCTTAAATGTGGGCAGGCCTGAATTTCGTTAGTACTTTGATTTAGTGCTATCATAACATAAACAGTTGTTGAATGAATGGCTATTAAGCAAAGGCTATTTGTAGTGACCTGCCATGTGTTAGAAATCTAGTTCGTGTTGTCTTGCCTCCATACTGTGTTCTCAAGTCCAGACAAGAAATCCATATCCGAGTCTAGTTCCTTAGCTCCTGTAGCTTCTGTGAGTGGAGAAGTACTTTGGGTATGCTCTGTTGATTATACAACAACAAATTACTTTTTTAAATGAAAATAAACAGAACTTTCTGAGCTTTTATGACTAGTCTTCACAAAAACCCAATTGGAAAGCTTTTGAACTTTTAAAAACTTTATTTACACAGCTTTGTGGTTCAAACAGATTCAGTGGTAATTTCAAGCAGAACTAGGAATTTACCATAAGAGTCTTCAATATATTGCTGTTTCTGTTGAAAGAGGAATAGTTTGCCACATAGCCAGGCCTCACATATCTAAAATGTACTGAAGGCAAAATATATTTATATTGAAATAAATATATTTTATTTGTATAAAATAGGGGTGGGGTAGGGAAAAGAACTGCCTTGCCAGTCTTCCTTTTAAGATATTTGTGAAAATATCATTCAGAGTATGTCAAAATTAGTTTTCTAGTTTAAAGGAAATAGAAATGTATGTCCCATTATCAGTGCAAAGTGTAAAGTTTCTGACAGGTGTCCTACTAAACTAGTGCAATATACAAGAAAATGTCCATCTTTGATTGGCTGGATAAGAGAAATTCCCATCTAATGACATGACTATTATTTATCTTATCCACACCACTCCATATAATCAGTTTGTGACATTTTGAATCCGTGAAAGCATCAAATGTTGAAAATACTTTCATGTGAGGAGTATCGCATCAATATTAGATAAAATACATGCTTCATAGTGTTGGTCTGCTGAGTACTGTCAGTGCTTTGAAAACTACAGATACTCTGTATTCTAACACATTTTGTTCTTTATACATGTTTGTGCTAGGATGAAGGAACACTAGAGGTCGGATATCAATGGCCTATCTGCCCACAAGGAATATTTCACAAGCTGTGCCTTTTAGATATGTTTAATTTATTGCTTTAACAATAGCTTTTATTTGTGCGGTTTTAACTCTCCATACACAGTTCATAGAAATGTATATTGCATGTTTATCAGGTCCTGATTATTTTTGCTTAGTTTGCCATTTGCTTTTTCCCCTTCTCTTTTTCCCAGAAATGATCAAGCCTGTTGAAACTAGCTTGTTAATTCACTGTGCACCAGATGTAGCATAACTTAATCGCTGAGGTTTGCCCAGGAATGTGCTGGTTCTCTTTCTCCTTAATACTTTTAATGAAAGAAATGCAAAATAAGTAAATCAAATTTAGGGCCTGTGTGAAAGCCAAACTTCAGGCTGTGTGTTACTAAATAATTTTAAACTGCAAGGAAAATAGTTACATCATCAGTTTCTGTATTGTTCACAGTAGTTAGTCCTTATAACAGTTTGTTTATTGACCATTTGAAGTTACAATGGCACTGAAAAAAGTGTTTTTTACACTTACAACCGTTGCAGCATTTCCATGGTCACATGATATACATTCAGATGCTTGGCATCTGATTCATATTTATGACGGTTGCAGTATCCCAATGTAAACTTCTTTTGCAAACTTCTGACAGGCAAAGTCAATGGGCAAGCTAGATTCACTTAACAACCATGTTACTAATTTAACAATTGCGATGATTCACTTAAGAACTGTGGCAAGAAAAGTCATAAAATTGGACAAAACTCACTTAACAAATTTCTCACTTAGCAACATAAATTCCGGGCTCAGTTCTGGTTGTAAGTCAAAGACTACCTATAGTGCAGTGAAAAAAAATATATAAGCGTGTACGCTCCAAAGGCATTCAATCTCAAAATTAAAAAGCAACATGGAGGGTGGATGCATGTCTGCGTTAACAGACAATAAAACACATTTCTCTTATTCGTATAAAATGTGAACATAAATACTACTTCTTAAAGAGGGACTAATTCATTTGATTCATATTTTAATATTTACCAAGACTTGGTTATTCTTGAGGACATACACCCTTCCAAATGTCATGTCACACTTATCCACAATGTGCAAAAGCCATATATTAAAAACTATCTCCAGAAATGCATACATGGGAGGGGGGGGGGGAATTGGCAAAATGCCTATGTTAGGAAAAAACTGTTGCAAAATTAGAAGCCCATAAAATGTGCTTGAATAAGTATGCATATTTTTGTGAGGGAGTATGTGCATACTAATGCAGAAATGCGAGAGAACAAATATTTGTTAGATTTATGCCTTGCCTTTCATTCAAGAGTTCAGGATAGCATTCACTGCTCTCCTTTTGTTTCCTACAGCCACAATCCTGTGAGGTTGGCTAGACTAGACTGAGAGTGACTGATTCAAAGTCATCTAGTTGAGCTGCTTAAAAAAAATTAAAATATTACATAAATCAATTTTGGACATTCCTGTTAAATCAGGAGTATGAAACTATTTAATCATGATCCAGTATATAAAAGAAACCAGCACAGCTTCTTAATACTGAATAAACCATAGACACTTGGTTCAGATGTAAAGAATAATTTATACAGTACACAACGTTGTGGAATTATGCTGAGGAGAAGGAGAGAGCACACATTCTAAAACAGGCTCTCAGGCCTTGAGACTTTTGCTTAGGTAGAACAATTCCATGAGCCATGGTGGTACAGCGGTTAGAATGCATTACTGCAGAATGCAGTGTACTAATTCTGCTGCCTGCTGCCTGACTGCAGTTTGGCGGTTCAATTCTCACCAGCTCAAGATTGACTCAGCCTTCCATCCTTCCAAGGTTGGTAAAGTGAGGACCCAGACTGTTGCTGGCAATATGCTGATTTTTAGAGAGGGCTGTAAAACACTGTGAAGCGGTATATAAATCTAAATGCTATTGATAGTATTTAACTGACATGAAGGTATAGTATGCATTATCTTCATTAACTTCATACTGCATCTTCAACTCAATCAGAGTAGAGCTGGAAGGGTTCTTTGAGTTCTTCTAGTCCAATCACCTGCATAAGCAGGAAACCCTATACCATTTCAAACAAATGACTGTCCAGTCTCTTCTTAAAAATCTCAGGTGATGAAGTACCCACAACTTCTGAAGGCAAGCTGTGCCAGTGATTAATTGTCCTAGGTGTTAAAAAGTTTCGCCTTAAGGTTGCTTCTCTTCTTGACTAGCTTCCATCCATTGTTTCTTGTCCTGCCCCCTAGTACTTTGGAAAATAATTGACCTTTGTGGCAGCTTCTCAAATACTGGAATTCTTTGCACTTTTGCCAAAGTCTCGACATCTTTTTTGTAGTATGGTGACCAAAGCTGGATGCTGTATTCAAGGTGTGGCCTCATTCAGGCATTATAAAGCGGTACTAATACTTCATGTGATTTTGATTCTATGCCTCTGTTTATAGAACCAAGGATTGTATTGATTTTTTTGGCTGATGGCTCATGTTTAAACAATTGTCCACTAACACTTTAAGGACCCTGTCACAGTTACTGTTTTTGAGCCAGGTTTCACCTAATCTTTACTTGTAACGGCAATGTCCTCTTTAAAGAAGATACATGCTTAATTATTATTTTGAAGATTTAGCAATCAAATTTTTACATGGAAATATGAGTAAACAAAGAATTAATTTCAATGGAGCTGGTTCCAGGTTTAAGCCAATGTCTGCATTTTCAGTTTAAGTGCTTGGTTTGCAATGACAACATTGCATTGCCAGAAATGTTATTTGGAATTTTACATGAATTAGCATATTTCTTTAAATGTATTTCTTTAAATATTTATTCATTTTCCTTTAAATGTTTTATGGGGAAATAAACTATTAAAAAAAAATTCTGCTAGGCCTCCTGCTATTGTGTTTTATTTCTCTTTTTAAAAGCAGCAGTTAGTTGTTTCCTTCAATTGTACATTTTTGTTAATTAAAAATTAGAGGGAGAAACTTTCCAATACAACCAGAAGTTTTACATTGAGTTTCACAATTGAGACCTAGTCATACATTTTAACTTTTGGCATGCTTCAACTGTCTGGTATCTGCTACCCTTGCAGGAAAGTGTCTCTCAAATTGTTTCATGCTGTCCTGATTTACCCCTGTTTTTTCAGTTGCTGCATGTAGCTGGAGGCAATTCTCTACAGAATGCAGATACAGCAGAAATTCCTAAAACAAGGGATATTTTGATAACTCCACAACCACAGATATATGTGACAACATGTAAGGAGAGACAAACAAACATTGATCAAGAACTTTGGGTACACTCTGTGCTTAAAGAAACATCAACATAGGGCAGTGCATATTTTACAAATGTTTTAGAAGATGGTTCAGAATTTTGTGCAATACAAGTTCTGTATCTTACTTGTTAAAGTAGCCCCAGCCCCCCCCCCCCCCCCCCCAAAAAAATTTCAGGTTTCTACAAGAGACAGAAAAAAAGAGACCCACCTGCTTTAATTAATTGATTCACTAGTCAATCTTTTCGGGATCCTGAAGAATTAGTTTAATTTAGCTTGCTTTAATTAGTAGAAGAGAAGAGTTGCATTTGCATGAGTTCCAAGGCATTTATTCCTTATCATTTTTGAAGCATGCATAGCTTTGGAATAGAATAGAATAGAATAGAATAGAATAGAATAGAATAGAATAGA